TTTCTCCTTTCGGGGCCCTTCACCCTCAGACCATCTTCAACCAAGCAGCGCTTCAATAAACTGTGATAGAGGAAGAATCCTGAGTTCCGTGTTTCATTCCGCGCTGGACGCCGGTCGCAACACATAGGTGATTGTTTTTTAACACTGAAAGTTTATACCTTTGGAGTACCTTCACCCAGTTTTGCCATCTCCCAGCCCCTGGCTCTACAACCACTCTGTGTCTGTGAGTTTAGTTTGTGTTTGGTTTTGCATTCCACACATGAGAGACTGCACCCTATTTGTCTTTCTATGACTCAGACACTTAGCATAACTGCCCTCAAAGTCCATCTATGCTGTCACAAAGGGTAAGAATTCTTTCTTGGTACACAATTCCCATACAATACAATATTCTGTATTTTCTTTATCCATTCATTCATGGATGGCTACTTAGGTTATTTCCATATCATGGCTACTACACATAAATAAGTACTTTAATGAAATAAGAGTGACATTTTCTTTTTGAGTTACTGTTTTCACTTTCTTCAGGTAAAGGCCTAGAAGTGGGCTAGCAAGGTCATATTTTTACCTTTGAGGACCCTCAGTACAGTTTCCCATAGCAGCTACACCTACTTACATTCTCACAGCACTATACAAGGCATTGGTTTTTCTCCATATGTAAGCCAGGTGTTACTATTTCTTGTCTTTTTGATAATAGCCGTTCTAGTAGGTTTGAGTTACTATTTCACTGTAATTTTGATTGTATTTCCCTGACTAGTGATGTTAAGCATCTTTTCATGTAGCTGCTGGCATTTACTAGTCATCTTAATCTGTCGTCCAACCCCTAAAAGTGCTAAATAAGAACCTCAGTGCTAAGACTCCATCATTCATGTTACTCTCACTTTTTCTGGAGTAGTACTTCCTACCACAAACCAATATATCCACATTTTTACATATATCAATGCAAATTAAAAATGTAAAGTGTTATCATTGGTCCAATAGCTCCCAGATCTAATAAATTCTGCTGGGCTAAATTTTGCAACACTAGACTCTTCAGGCAAGGCAAAGTTTGTGCTGAAAATTTTAATCTCTCACATTATTGTAAAAATAGTAAGATCAGTGATTTGCAATATTCAATTAAACACAATGACTCAGCAAGAAAGGTTTAGTTCAATAGGACTTTATTTAAAAATTTGCAAAGCTGAAGGAAGGATCTGATCTTTTGTAAAAGAAAGCAATTTTCACAGTATATATTCAGCCATTTTAGCTTTGTGTTGAATAATAACAGAAAAAGAAGTTTCTGTTCAAGATTCTCCCTCCAGTACTTAGCCAGGTGCTTAGGATTTTGTCCCAAGATAACACATTCCCTGTCTGAACTCAGAGTAAATCCTCTCACCTTGGAACTGGAAAACCAATTCTTCCCGAGGCACAGGCTCAAGGTCTTATTTCCATTGTTCTACATAAGGCTCTGAGAATCCTTAGTTTTAAAGTTGGGCAAAACGTGAAAGGATTCATTAACATCGCCTGCAGCAAACCAAACTACTTGTTAATTATTGACAATTACAAGTATAAAATACTTGGAATTTATAAGATATTCCACATTTGGTGGAACAACTTAAATATTAAAAATTGGGTCAAGTAACATGCTGTCATGTGTTAAAATGTTACTTAATAAAACTTACTGAGACAAGATACGCAGCATTTTTTGAATGCAGCACTTGGTATTATAAGCTCCTACTGATGGCTACTTGATCAAAGAAAAATAAAAGAGAAGAAACTGCACATATTGGCATATAACAATGCCTGTAGGGAATGTCATGTTTTAAATTGTTACAGAAATGAAACAGAAAAAAAAAGTCTACAAAAACCACACCCATGTTATTTTAAATGATGAGGTAGACTTTTTTCTATGCATTAAAGTGAAAGTAAATGCACACAACTTTCAATTTTTCTTTTTTTTAAAAAAAAGTTCAGATGATAGTCACTTTCACTAGACATTTACAAACTATGAGGTGGAAAGGTGACCGTCAGGCAAGATCTAGCTTGGATGTGTTGGTATTTGGAGATTCAATTATCAGTCTCGGATCAATCAAATCTCTCCAAAAGACAGTAATCTAAGGAAAAACACAAAATATTCTATTTAGAGGCTTCATATTGGTTAAAAAAATCAACCAATCAGTCCATTTCTGCAGTAGAGTTGAAGACCTGGAATAACTTGAATCCCAGAAAACTGAGTACAAGTAGTTTACTTAGAATGCAGCCTTTTTCACCTAGAATGCAGCTAAACTCTATTAAACATATTTCAGGCCCTCCCTGGTAGTGCAATCTGTTAAAGCGCAGCACTGCAAGCGAGCCAAAACCACTTCAGTGCTGCGTTCGATCTCCGCCCCAGAGGTGACCCACATGGCATGACAGACCTGCCTGCTGCTCCCCTCAGCAGTGTACTTCATCAATCTGCCTGTTCTGCTCCCCACTCTGTCTCTGGTGAATCCTCTCACCACCTCTGTACCTCTGGCCTGTACCCAGTTCTGTGAGCATACATAAATAAATCTAAAAAAAAAAACCATATTCTACCTTTCTCTGATTTGGATTATGGGGAGTAATGGGGAGTGGGTTGGGTGACAGGTTTGCTCAGAGGGTTTGCTCAGTAAGCAAACCTGTCCATTTGCCCTGTGGATGGGGGGAAAAAATGTGGCCAGAAAGTGCTCAATTCACTGCTGACGCCCTTTATGAAGCTCTGTAGCTGCCTAAAAATTGTAGGTATTTCCCATTTTACCAAGAAAACAGCAAAGGCTTTCACTGGTCACGTGGATGAGCAATGAGGGCCATCTAATGTCAAAAAGAGGTAATTACAGACTCCTCTCCAGGCTTCTTGAATAAGGCATAGGGTGGAAAGTCTCCAAAGTTTTCATTTTCCTTTTTTTTAAAAGCTTTATTTATTTATACATACAGAACTGGGGTACAGGCCAGAAGCACAGGGGTGGTGAGAGGATTCACTAGAGACAGAGTGGGAGCAGAACTGGCAGATATACTAAGTACACTGCTGAGGGGAGCAGCAGTCCAGACAGGAGAGGTCTGCTGCACCATGTGGGTCATATCCCTGGTGGGGACAGAACTAGTGCTGACGGGGCTGCGGCTAGCTTTGCAATGCTGTGCTTTAACTCGTTGTCCCACCAGGCAGGACTCCAAAGTTTTAATTTTCCAATGCAGTTTCAAAAAACACATTTCCACAAAAACATGGGCCGTATATACTTCAAATAAAGAAGTACAAGGGATGGCGAAAGCTGATAATCATTCTACAGATTCTGAAAAAGTGTTTTGAAATAAATCCTTAAGAATGTTATCTGGGCCTTCCTTGGCGGTGCAGCAGGTTGGAGTGCTGCACTGTGAAGCTAAGACAAGCCAAGGCCGCTTCAGCGCAAGTTTGATTCCCGTCCTGCAGGTGACCCACATAGCGCAGCAGACCTCTTAAAAAAAAAAAAAAGTATACCCTGAATTTACCCTGAAGACAAAACAAAAGCAAAACAGTCGGTTAGGATTTCTACAAGTTTATACTTAGATAAAATGTGAGTTTGCAATACTGAAACTTAAAGAATAGTATTTATAACATTTCAAATAGAAGCAAATTAAGAGAAAGCATTTTCTTATGTATAAACTCTATTTGCCTTACTGCTAGCATAGAAAAAGCTGGTCACTGGCAACAGCTCCAGAAGTCTGGCTGCCTATAATGCTCTAACCCCTTGACAGCTGACCCTGGCCAAACGCAAGATTTCAAAGCACCTGCCCAGCACGAATTCTCAGTATGACGTAGAGCTGGACCTCCGTACACAAAGGTTCCACACCCAGATCAGGTCAGCTGATATCCAGGACAGCTGAACCAGAGAATGCAGAACCCCACCCACAGAAAAAAATCTGCCTGTGAGTGGCCTTTGGAGTTCACACGTTATTCCAGGGCCAGTTCCTAAAAGTGGCAGCTTAAGGGTTTAAAGTCAAAAGACAGAATTATTTTGTGTTATTCTTTATCACTGTTATAAGTCAGAATTGTAACTTTTGGGGCACAACAGTGGCAAGGAGAAACAACAGAGATTTTCAGGGAAACTGTTAACGTTCTATTTCTTAATCTGGTAGCTGGCTACATTTGTATGTTTATTTGTAAAAACTGTTCAAGCTCTACAATGATGTGTATTTGTCTGAACAAATACAGCAATAAAAGTTTTTAAAATATCCTTTTCTACTCAAATGCTTACAAAATGATTTCTATTCTCTCATTATGTAGCTCCTGAGGTTCAAGATGGCACCCTAACTCGGTATTCGGCACTGTTTGGCCACCCTGTAGGCAAGCCAGAGTTCCCTGGGGCTAGAGTGTTCAACACAGGAAGTTTAGGAAGTTAATAATGTCACCTTCCAGACCACCAGTAACTGGTGGTGGTCTAGAATGGAGAACAAGAACATCATGCCTACCTTCTTCTCCTGTGTCACAGCATACTCCACTATCTCAGCTCCATTTTCGTTGTGATAAACCAAGTCAAATTTCCCAGGCTCTTTCATGGCTGCAACCAGATGGTAGGGAGAAGAGACAATAGGTCATTTCTCAACAGTGAAAATATTGCTCAAGAGAGGATTTATATCATCAGAAAACAGCCATAAATTGCCCAATGATGTAGAAGCTGGACACACACACAAAACCATGGAGTGCTCAGTGACAGGCTGTCACTCTAGGGAGTTTCATCACTATAGACACAACCACCTTCCTCACTTTGGGTCACTCAGTTCACATAAACTTCAGTGCCAACATCCCAGTGCTTAGCTAGTTCTTCTATAACTTCTCTTCAATGAAATTGGGATGTTACCTCAACATTTCAACTTTATATTTTTGCTGTGTTTTCACCTTTGTGAGCTAGTTCCCTAATTTAGTTATTCATTTCTGTAAATTGTCATGTGGATTTATCACTGAGAGACAATACTTTTGCTGTTGTATGGAAATGGAGTAACAGATGACCAGTGACCAATCAGCAAGAGACTTTGAAGGAAGTGATGTGACTGGTCACTGAACATGATAGATATCTGTTATTTACATAGTGACCTGTGAACTGAAGAGCCAACAATGCTTATGTGATTACTCACAGCTAGCATGATTTGGGAGGCTAGTGTTTTTTAAACTAAATCATGCTTAACTGGAGTTCCTGGATGTCAAAATCATGCAAAGCAAGAACTACCTGTACTTCTATTAGTAAACATAGAAGGCTATTTCTTGGTTCCCCAAAGAAAAGTTCTAGTTGGATGTTACCATTGTCAATCAACTGGCAACAGGGATCAGGCTATGATTCTGAAATTTGGCCATCAGCTTCTCTGTTTACCATTCCTAAGAAGGGGTATTTTTTCAATTGAAAATTAGATAACCAAGGTAATATCTAATCTAAAAGGGACTTTGATGAAAAATCCATTTGATAAATTTCTGTGTACTCAAATTTTGTCTCGTTTCTCACTACTTTATTTAAATATAACAGAAAATAATTCATTGCCTTAGAAAGCTAAAGAAAAGGGACTTTAACTTGTCTTACTTTCTGGCCTGGGACTCCAAGTAGAGTCATAGATAATAAAAGCCCTCTTATTCCATATTTTCAGAACCAACAAAGGTGAGTTAGGGCTTAAGCAGGGAAACATTTAAAGTAATGTGTGAGAGTGAACATATACCTTAGACATTCTATTCTGACAACACACAAATAGGTTCATTTGCCTCTTGAAAAAGAGCTGAACCAATGTTATATTAAACCATATCCCTAAGTTATTGTCTGCAATTTCCAGTTTTGAGAGTTTTTCTTAAAGCAAGAGCACAAAAGCTAGTATGGCAATCTAAGTGTAGACTCTTCCTAGATTTCTGCTGAATTACTCCCACTCTTTTATAGCTAACCACCTACTTCAACAGTAATTTTTCAGTAACACTCCTGAGATAGCATTCAACTTAGGTTTCAGAGATAATCCTTTTGCAGTCAATTTTCGTTAGTTTATATAGTTCTTATGAAATTATGTAACTACTCTGATAAGAGCAGCTATCAAAGGGCCTTGGGAACAGACTCAGTAACTCCTAGCAGACATGCAGCGTCACCAGTGGGAACTCCAGCCCTGTGGGTGCTCTATGCAGACAGAGGTGGTGGAGAGTGCTAGTTAATTACAGTGACCAACGAAGAGAACAGCTACTGTGTGTAAGAGCTAGTTAGAAATTAAAAGAGATAGGAAGAGCCTAAATTTTCAAATTCTTTCCAAGAAGACTCACCAGGCAAGGATGAAAGAATTTCTATATCTAGTTGCTGGGTCTCTGGATTGTGACTTAATATTTTTCCTTCCTTTTAAAAATAAAAGTGCAAATCAAAATCCAACACGTAAAATATAATACACTAAAACCACTGAATTGTACACTAATATAGTTAAAATGGTGAATTTTACATTATGTAAATTTTGTCTCAATCTTAAAAATAAGTAAATCAACACAGAATGGAAATAAAGCTCCCAAATCCCAAGTTAAAATTTCTACCAGTCCAAGTCACCCGTGTCAGGGGCCATATAATTAAGGACGGCTAATATACCCCCAAAGTCAGCTACATATTCAAACTGACCAGTCCCAAGCTACTTCCCCAACTCAACCATGCCTATCTCATGGAATCACCAATAAAGGTTCCAGCCGAGGCTTGCTTGCTTTCTTTTAAAGATTTGTTTATGCACACAGAACTGGGATACAGGCCAGAGGTGTAAGGGTGAGAGGATTCACCAAAGAGTGGGGAACAGAACAGGCAGATATGCTGAAATACACTGCTGAGGGGAGCAGTAGGCAAGACAGGAGAGGTCTGCTGCACCAGGTGGGCACCCCCCTGGCCAGGGATCGAATTTGTGCTGCAGTGGCTGCGGATAGCTTCATAGTGCTGTGCTTTAACCAGCTGCGCCACCAGAGAGAGCTTGAGACTTTCCTCTCACTTTTGCTTCTGCCTCCTGGGTGCTTTACTCTACCACCCTGCATGGCATGGCATTCCTCCCCTCTTGAGAAATATAAGTAATAATCCTTGGGGGGGGAGGTCTCTGGTGGTACACAGGTTAAAGAAACACCACTATCAAGCTATCAAATTATCGGCAGACACCTCTCCGTTCTGGGCCAGCTGCTCCCCTCAGCAGTGTGTTTCAGTAGGTCTGTCTGGGCTGCTCCCCATTCTGTCTCCTTCCATGGTAATATGATGAACAACATCTGTTTACTTTTTTTTAATGCATACAAGAACTGGGGTGTAGGCCAGAAGTGCGATGAATGAGAGGATTCACCAGAGACAGAGAGGGGAATGAAACAGGAGGATCTATTGAAATACACTGCTTCGCTGCAAGGGAGGCCAACGACATTCATTTAGTATACATTTAAAAAGCCAGTATCATCTAGAATCACAATCTCTAGAGGCTGTGGGACATTTTATACTTATCTCCATTCTTTCATATATAACAAAATTAATTATCTATGATTGTGTGAAAAGCATTCTGGTTTGCCTAAGACAAGTGTGGCTACATTTCCTTGCTACATACTTCATTTAGAAGTATGATTTAGATGGTAAATTATATAACCTACTAAATCCCTTCATGAATGATTCTTCTAGTGTGCTTTTGAGGAAAGCTTCTTAGCAAGACTTTAAAAGACTTCTCAGGTGACAACTCAAGATTAAATCAAATCTCCACATATTTTATCTATACAACTGTGTTAACATTGCCAACTATTAACTTAAAAAATGGACTTAAGTGGCCCTCCCTGGTGGCGCAGCGGGTTAAAGCACTGTACTAAGAAGCTGAAACCACTTCCGCATGAGTTCGATTCCCGCCTGCCCCAGAGGAGACCACATGGTGTGGCAGACCTCTCCTGACCTGCCCGCTGCTCCCCTCAGCAGTGTACTTCATCGATCTGCCTGTTCTGCTCCCCACTCTGTCTGATGAAGTCTTTCACCACCCCTGAGTCTCTGGCCTGTACCCTAGTTCCGTATGTGCAAATAAATAAATCTTAAAAAAAAAAAAAAATGGACTTAAGTACCACCACTTTCTGGTGGTACAAGGTGTTAAGTCTCAGCATTATCAAGTTATTGCCAGCCACTGCAGCATGAGTTAACCCACATGGAGCAGCAGACCTCTCCTGTCTCCCCGCTGCTCCCTTCAGCAGTGTATTTCAGTCGATGCACCTGTTCTGCTTCATACTCTGTCTCTGGTAAATCCTCTCACACCCAGTACTTCTCTACACCCAGTTCTTATATGCATAATAAAAATAAAAATAAATCTTTTTAAAAATATTTATATTCTGTATATTATATCAAAATAATAAGTGCATTTTGGGGCCCTCCCTGGTGGCTTACCAGGTTAAAACATAACACTATGAAGCTATCTGAAGCCACTGCAACTTGAATTTGATCTCTGGCCCCAGAAGCGATCCACATGGCACGGGAGACCTCTCTTGACCCGCCCGCTGCTCCCCTCAGCAGTGTATGTCAGTACCTCTACCAATTCTGCTGCCAATCTGTCTCCAGTGACTCCTCTCACCGCCCCCCACTACAACTCTGGCCTGTACTCCAGTTCTTAAATGTATAAATAAAATTTTTAAGTGCATTTTAACAAGATTTTCAATAAAATTTTAAATCAGTGAAAAGGGAAGAAAACATGTAATTCTGTAATCCTACTGAGTCAAGCTCTTACTGAGTTATGATAAACTCAAATGCCAATATAAAGTCACATACAGATAGAAATGAGCAAAGTCGCATACTTATATGGCTATACGTGAGTCAGTTCCAATGACTGTGAATCACTTATGGTTAACTGACAATGTAAAAGAGACCATATTAGGCCAAAACCCATAGAGATTCATAAATACATAGATTTTTATGATATGTCATTAAATAATTTTGTGAAGAGCTATTTATATCACCTTTCACAGTTTTAACATCACAGGAAGGGATGCTCAAACATGTGTATCTAAGCTGAGTAGGAAAAATATAACTAAAAAAAGTTGAATTCATTATTTTCATTCTATATTCTTCCCAAGTGTAAGGTAAACAACACTGGGTTATCTCACAGTGATACGATTAAAAAATTCAGTCTACTCTATGACACATTTACTGAAAAACACTACATTCACATTAGCAGTATTACATGTGACTTTAGTTTCTTTAATATACAAACAATTACTTTATATAAATGGCCTTACCTTATATTCTGAGACATCTGGAGAATAATCGGATGTTAACTCCAAAAGCTAAAAGAAGAAGAAAAAGCTCAAAACACACATGAGCCCTGTGACTTCTGTCCCTGATGCCCAAGAAAAGGGCGAGGGGTGTCCACTCACCAACTGTGGGAGTGCTACCATGATCCTGCGACAAAACAAGGGCCCCACGGGAAGGCTTTCTTTGAGGGCTTGGGTGACAGACATGACTCCTTTTATTTGTGTACTTGCTGTGATCCACACACCAGACTAAGTCATTTTTATTCATACAGAAAACTACTACTGGGACTTGCCATAAACAAGGCACGAAAACACCAAAGAAAATGATCCAGAAGGGTTTTCATAGACAGATTAACCTGACCTGCTAACGAGGAGGTTTATTTGGAGAGGAAGAGCCCTTCTTGTTGTAACTGTTGTTCTTTAAAATATACCTTAAAAAATAAACTGTTACTAAAAAAATAATAATACAATATACCTTAAAAGCAATCTTTTCGCCAACTTGAGGGGCGGCCGCCAACAGCGGTAACAGACTGTAGTCCTTTTTGGGTGTCTCCACTGGATTCTGTAAAACAGATTGTCATAAGACTTGACGCTGGAGAGAAGGTGAACTCATGATGTCAACTCCAGACATCTCACATGGGGAGAGGAGAGGGAAACTCATAATAGATGAATACTTACCTGTATAATAGTAGATGAGTTTGTTAACATTTCATTCAATTGCTGCTGCTTCTGAAATTCACTATTTTTATTTAAAATATTGGCAACAGCATGTCCTCGTCCTCGACCTCTGCCCCGAGTGCCCCGACCCCTAGCCCCCTTCCAAGAAAGTAAGTCCTCTCCCCTCCCCCACCCTCGTCCTAGACTGGTGGGGAGAGTCACATTGGGAGGCGGGCCAGAAGCCTGTCTGCCACCGTTTGCATCTGAGTACTTCCACCCAGTCACATCTGGAGTCTGCAATGATGGCCCTGAATCTGGGCAACCTCTTCCTGGAAAGAGGCCTACTGAGTTCAAGAAACCTGCTGCACACTCCAGGCTGCTCTTTGACATTATGCATTGGTCATCTGACTCTGAACTCGAGTCTGAGCTAGAAGATGATGCTCGGGTTATCTTGCCCTTGGTGGGGACAGAGTTAAAGCCAGCTTTTGTAGCCATTTTGTTTGTGCTTGTGTTTTTCCCAGCAGGTCCTTCCTTTGATGACTCGGTTGGTATTTTCTCTGAGGAATTTGTGACCTCCAAGGTGACATTGCTGAGACCATCACTGGTTGATTCATTGTAAGACTCAGACTCTGAGGAGGAGCTGGGACTGCTTTTCGCACACCCTCCCACTCCACCTTTCCTCTTGGCTTTAACAAGGTTGTTTCTGACAGGAGTACCTTTTGGAGGATTATAGTTCTGGATGGTCCATTCTCTTGCTGTCTGGGCTTTAGATGACTTGGGATTCTTTGCCCTTTTTTTATATTCACTCTTCTCCTTTTTCTTTGGTGTTCTTCTTTTGGTCTCTTCTTCATCCTCATCTACTATCCCACATGTGGCTTTTTTTTTCCGCTTGCTTTTTTTCCTCACACTCTGATCTGAGACGGATTTGAGTTCTAGATCCAAGGTTTTCTCATTGTTACAGCTATCTTGCCTCTTCCAGTGCTTCTTTGAATTTATGTAAGTTAGTTCAGTTTCTTCATCCTCCTCCAACTTAAATGCCCGCTTCTTTGCTTTTCTGGGTAACAAAGGAGTACCATCACCATTACTGATGACTGCAGGACTCTCAGCAACTCCTCGCTCTTCTAACTTAACTCTACCAAAAGAATGAGAAAGAAAACTAGTGAGTAACTAGTAAGCATGTCTCTAGGATGTCCTTACACACCGAGGAGACTCTACTCTCATTGCCACCAGTTAAAAATGTCAAATCACTCAAAGAAAAATGACTCTTTTTGACAACATACCCTAAATAGTCTGAGTTAGTCACCTTTCAAATGACTAGATTTATTATATACTGCACCCCAAACATTTTCTGTATGCTTTTGCTAAGCTAAACACAACCATAAGATTTATTTTCTTTCTCATTTGTTTTTGTAGAGACTGTCAAAAACTGTCAACTGTATTTCAAGTCTTCATGGTGGGATATTGAGAAAAGTTTGCAAATAGCAATACTGCACCTTGGCTAAATCTTACTGGCTATGATACTGCTCCTGTGCAAAGTTTATTATTCATTTTATAACATTACAAACTTAAAGAGTTCAGACAAATAGCCTGTCCAAGATCACAGCTAATGAACAAAACTAGAATTCAAGTCTCAGTTTATCTAACTTCAAAGTTCATAATCTTTCTGCTACATTATATTGCCTATGCCCACTTTTGTTTTTAAATATAGGCTCCTTTTTCAAAAATCAGATTTAAAAAAATTTTTAAAATTTATTTCTGCATACAAGAACTGGGCTTGTATATACAGACCAGAGATGTGTGTGTGTGTGGGGAGGGGGTATGGGGGTGGTGAGAGATTTTACCAGTGACAGAGCGGGGAACAGAACAGGCAGATGTACTGAAATGCACTGCTGAGGGGGGCAGTGGACTGGTCAGGAGAGGTCTGCTGTGCTATGTGGGTCACCTCCCTGGCTAGGACTTGAACTTGGCTGCAGTAGCTGCAGTAACTTCATAGTGCTACGCTTCAACCCACTGTGCCACCAGGAAGGGCCCCAGATTTTATTTTTATTTTTTGTAAATTTAGGAAAATGTCTAATAATTTACTCTAGAGATAGACACTGTGAAAGCCCATGATATTTGTGATTGTTAATTTTATGTGTCAGCTTGAGTGGGCCCTGAAGCACCCAGACATTTGGTTAAACATTATTATGAGTGTATCTGTGTGGGTGCTTTAGGATGTGACTGACATTTGAATTGTCAGAGTAAATCAGACTCCTATTCACCAAGTGGGTGAGTCTTACCCAATCCACTGAAGACCTGATTAGAACTAAAGGCAAAAGCTAGGGAGAATTCACTCTGCCTATCTTTAAGCTGGGGCTCAGACTAACACTAGAACTTACATTACTAACTCTACTGGTTCTTAAACCTTTAAACTAGACAATTATACCATCTACTCTCCTGTGTCTTTAGTTTGCCAGTGGCGGATCTTGGGGCAGTCTCCATAATCTCATGAACAAATTCCTTATAATAAGTCTCCTATCTATATCTCCTCTTGGTTCTGTTTCTCTGGAAAACCTAAGCCACTCCATCAAAAATTACTTCACTACAAGAGAGGAATTCTGTTACTCCATAAACTAGCAATGATGAATTCTAATACATGCAGAATTCTAATATGTATAGAAAATTGAGTGTCCTCAATGTCAAACATATGGTGGGTGTATCAAATATGCCACTGAGAACACATCTCTTACTTTCAATACCTTTATATCTATGATTAGGCTGGCACTAAGGACCATGAAATGTCCCCTTGCTTTTTTTTTTCTTAAGACTTATTTATGCACTCAAGAACTGGGTTGTAGGCCAGAAGTACGAGATGCATGGTGTGTGTGTGAGAGAGGATTCACCAGAGACAGTAGGGAGCAGAACAGACAAAGTGACTGATTTATACTGCTGAGGGAAGCAGAGGGCAGGACAGGAGAGGTCTGCTGTGCCATGTGGGTCAGCTCACTGGCAGGGGATGGCACTCATACGGCTAGCTTGATAGCATTGTGTCTTTAACTCTTTGTGCCATCAGGGAGGCCCAATGTGTCTTGCTTTTAACCTTTAATTTAGCAGCGTAGCTTTATGCACTGTAATGGGTTCCTTACTGAGCAATTTTTGTTCCTTCTGGGCATGAGGATAACATCAAACATGAGTGCTAAACTGATAATAAAGAAGAGAGCAACTATTCCAGGAACATCATCAGTGAGTGATCTGACACAAGCTATGCAACGTCTATCGTCTGACAGATTCAGGGTAGATTGGGAAAAGCTCTGAAAAATCAGACTTTCCATTGCTAACTTATGTTATGACCTCCCTTTTTTGTATAATCATAATATCAAAATATTTTGAGCAGCCATCAGTTTACAACGGGATTGTCTTAGCCGCAAAAGGCTGCTGCCTGGTTCAGGCAAGCTGCCCCAGGGTGAGAAATTCCTCTGTTTTCTGAGACAAAAGCCCCAGGAGAGATAAGACCCCAGGGCATAAAAACTCCTGGGAAGCTTCCTTGGTTTCTTTGAATCAAAAAATAAACTTCAGATAAGGCTCCCAGGGCATAAGGACTCATGGACAAATTTTAACCTTGACTACACAGGTGTTGTTTGATACACAACTTTCTCTTAATTTACTCCTTTATAAAACAAGCACTAACTACTCTCTGCTAGCCTTAAATTAGCCATTAGCTTTTCTTTAGACAATCACTGATAACACTGCTAACACAATTTATTACTATCCCAAGACCTCTAACAACCATTTGCTAACAAGCTCACCCTTTCCCAGACCCCTCTTCCTTTGAGTGATAACTAGACACCTGTATACATGATAACTATCACAAAAACGTATAATCTAGCATACCATAAATTCTTAAAAGAAGAATGCTTTTTTCCCCTTGTCCTTGAGAATGGATTATGGTGTTATCTCACCCTATGCATTATTACAATTAACTACTTGCTACACAGTATAAATAAAGACCTGCTGAAAGAATGGCAGGAAGTCTTGCACCCAATCCTGACTCCAGTGTCTTCCTCGCACCTGCTCCTGTCTCCCCTTTTGGAATCTCTGCTCGCCGACACCTTCCCATCTTAGTCCTGCCTGTGTTGCCTCCAGACACCTCAAAAGAGCTGGTCTCCAACAGTGATCCCATGGCTAACTGCCCAGTAACCTCCTAGACCTGAGAATGAAGAAACCTTCCCATGTACACAAGTCCCTGTACTCCTTGCTTTCCTATATAATCTTCCTTTACTGCCACTCAGCACCAACTCTGCCATTCTCCCAATACAGCACCATTTGCTAATAAAAAACTTCCCTTTTGGAAACAATCTCAGGGTCAGAGTCTGGCTTTCTGAGCAGTAAGATAAGTGACCTGTTAGATCATTAACACAAACTAGCTATGTATTTGATCAAGTTGTTGTAGTGACCAGGGAAAAAGAGAAAAGTACAATTGGCGAATAAGATATATCCTTAAAACTTTTTATTTTAAAGATTTATTTATGCATAGAAAAACTGGGGTGTAGGCCAGATGTGTGTGTGTGTGGGGGGGGTACAGGATTCACCAGAGACAGAGTGGAGAGCAGAATAAGCGGATCTACTGAAATACACTGCTGAGGGGAGCAGCAGGTGAGACAGGAGAGGTCTGCTGCTCCCCTTAGTAGTATTTCAGTAGATCTGCTTATGCAGGTCAGCTCCCTGGCACAATGGATCGAACTCAAGCCTCAACAGTGGTAGTACTGCGCCTTAAGCCCTAGGCAACCAGGGAGGACCCCTTAAAACTTTTTAGGTATAGTAAGTAATACTGTGGCAGATGAAAAAAATCCTCACTTATCCTTCAGATTACATAAATATACAAAGCACATATAAATCAAATAAGAGCTACTGATATCATATAGTGAAATAAAACTGAGATATCAATGATTTCAATGATAAAAAAATGTCATTCTTATTCCATTTGTGGAATAACATTTAACAACATCTGTGGACCTCAGTGTCTAATAATTCCTATACTGACAAAAGTTGGCTTGGCACTCTGTGAATCTAAGAATTACTGGGGAACGCCCAAAATATCAGATTGTTTCCTGACACTATTGAGCAATATGTTTTCTACCATACAGTTTCAATTATGAGATGAAGAATTAAGAGTAAACTTTCCATCAAACTTTGAAAATGGTTGCATGGTTTACTGTTTAGTTATTGTTGTCTATAAGACACTGGAACACAGCATGTACTGCATCAGGTATCTACAATATCCCTGCCTTACAGAGGAGCTTGCACCAGGACTATTCTTTCTAGTGCTGCCCCAGACATCATATTACCCATTCAGATAACAATGGATCTGTGGATGAGCCAATCACACTGTGGCATTTCACTCGACAATTGCTTAAAACTCAAGCATCAGCATTTTCAATTTACAAAAGCATATTCAAAACGATTTTGTGTTGCCTAATTTATAAACCAAAAGGTGTCCAACGTAGTGAACCCCCAAAGTCCCAGGTCAGACACTATAAATCTCTTGATATCACAGGACAAGTTGCACGTTTTAAAGAAAATATAATTCCTCTCAGTTAACTGGGGTGTCCTGCGCCTGACCCTGAGAGTTGTCAGGGGAAGGCTGGGTCTCAGGCATGTCCACTTCACGGCCATGCAGTGCCTAAGCCAAGTGAGAGCTTCCCAGTCCAGGCTGACTGGAAAACCGGTCCCGCCTAAACATCAGGGCTTTTCCAAGCCCTGCAGAGCTCTCACGCCGAGGAAAGCAGCCCTTTGTAATGCCGATTCCTGAGCTCCCCACCGAACTAAGCCTTTCAGCTTCCCGGGTTCACAGAGGCAGTTTTACTAGCCTGCTCCAACCGCATCCCTTGCCCCGACGCCCCGCACGCCAGCGGGCTCCTAAGGCCTGGGGAGCCCCGGGCGTGCGCAAGCGCGTCCCAGCCGGCCCGGCGCTCACCTCCAAACCGCCACCCCGTCCCCCGTCCCCCGACCCCCGCCCAGAGCACACCTGAGGCAGTCGTTGTCTCGCACCAGGCGCGCGCTCTCAGCCGGGGGCAAGAGTCCCCCCTCCAAGTAGAGACCCAAGAGGGCCCCAGAACTGTAGCCGAAGCGCTGACGGATGAGACTAATGAGATCCGTGACTACTCGGCATCTGGTCAAGTCGACTAGAAGCCAGAAGGACGTGCAGTTGGGGGTGGCTGGCGGCGGGTAATCAAATTGAAGCCGTAGCCTAACCGTTTCGGAGGCTGCCATCTTGCTCGTCGGCCAACGGAAGCCGAGAGGTACCACAATGCTCCCGGGAGGTGTGCTCGGGCGGCGCGCCCCCTGGGACTGCGAGCGTGCGCCACCTAGTGGTGGGATGTGGCTGCCACAGGCCTCGAGGGTGGCGAGAATTGATAAGATTACAGTGATTTTAAGATTAATGATCACTACGTAGAGTCGGAATTTGGACAGCTTCTAAATAGCGCTCATCTAAGATATCTGCTCATATGTGTAAAATAATTTCCAAACAACTCACTATGCATTTAGTTCACAAGATTTTTCTTTCTTTTTTTTTTTAAAGATTTATTTATTTTTGCATACAGAACTGGGGTGCAGACCAGAGGCTCAGGGGCGGCGAGAGGCTTCACCAGAGATAGAGTGGGGAGCAGAACAGGCAGATCTACGAAGTACACTGCTGAGGGGAGCAGCGGGCTGGTCAGGAGAGGTCTGCCACGCCATGTTGGTCACCTCCAGGGCAGGTGGGAATCGAACTCATGGGGAAGTGGCTTAAGCTTCTTAGTGCTGCGCTTTAACCCGCTGCGCCACCAGGGAGAGCCTGACAAGATTTTTCAAGGTAAAAAGCTGTAAAAGATGAAGTCAGAGCATAATGTAAATATTTTTAAATAAAACAATTAATTGTTCTTTAAAATGTATCCAGTGGAATTTAAGTGCCCGAGCCATTTAATACCGACCATTCATATTTTAAAATATAAAATTAAACTCTTCTTCACTTCTAAGTAAGTAAGTCACAAGTTCTATGGCTTTCTTCTATTCCTTGAAAAAGAATTTCCATTCCATTCTCCCACACTATATATACCCTTGAATTATGAATTAATAAGGAATGAATTATTATTATTCCCATTAAAAAACAAACAAGCCATAAAGCTCAGAGGGTTAAGTTACTTCCGCCAGATCAGTGGGCTTCTTACAGTAGCGGATAACACTAAAAAGAAAGGTGAGTCTTATTTTCTTGTGAACTTAATGCTCTTCGTCTTCTGGGTTGTGTTCTCATGACTATTATTAGTGGCATTGATGGAAATAGCATAGACTATTACACATTTTGACACCTAATAATTAAACAAGATAAGCAAGTAAAATGAACATGGAAGTATATTAATGAAATAGATGGAGCTAGGTTTTTTTTTTTTTTTTTAATTAGGCCAGGTCTTTCTAGATGAATATTATTGTATGAGAGAGGGCTCTACCTCAATCCTAGATCCTTTTTTTATTCATTTATGCATACAAGAATTGGGGTGAAGCCCAGAGATTTTAGGGCAAGAGGATTCACTAGCCACAGAGTGAGGAGCAGAACAGGTGGATCTACTGAAATACACCGCTGAGGGGAAGCAGTGGGCAAGAAAAGAAGCGGTCTTTGAACTCCTGCTGCAGTGGCTGCCTAGGTCTTAGTGCTGAGACTTAACCCTTTGCACCACCAGGCAGGCCCTAAGAATCAATTTTTAATATCTACCAGGTTCTAGTTCCAGTTTTATCTCTAGCTGATTTTTTCCTACATTTTACTATAAAAAAGTTCAAACAAGACAGATTGTAAAAATTGTATAGAATACCCATTCACCTGCCACCTGAATTCTACCATTAACATTTTCCCAGAATGGACTTATCATATTTATCTATCCATCTATTAATTTCTTTCCATTTATCAATACATTTTAAAATTTGGGTGCATTTCTAAGAAAATTGTGATTATTGGCACATTCCTTCCCTAAACTCTTCAACATGGTCATCATTAACAAGAGCTAAATTTTTGTTAATGATTTTTTTCTTCTGAGATAAAACAAATATTATGAAATCCACACACCATAGGTGTACATCTGTGTAACCCAAACCCAAATCTGTGTCAGAATAAACTTCACAGTTACCTCAGGCAATTCCTTCTCAGTCCCTGCCCTTTATTCCCAGGCACAGCTATAGTTTCTAGTGATTTTTATACCGCGTTTTAATCAGGTGGTTCTCTGGTCCTTCCCTTTATCACCCCACCTGCAATTTAAAAATAACTATTTTAAAGTTAATGTTTGTCGCTTTTTAAGCAATAGTATAACTTCTCCTATTTTAGCTTAGCATAGTAATTCCAGATATCAGAAGTATCACATGAAAAACATAGGTTTTTATTACAGTGTTATTTTTTCAGTGATGCCCTTTCCCCCTTCCCCCAAAATCTAAGGATAGTGGATGGTTAAATGCACTGGAGGTTCTGGCGACAGAATAACTTGAAAAGCGTAGCCAGGAAAAACTTAGGATCGTGATGTTCATAGTTATTTCTTTCTAACTTTTATGTATATCTATCAAATGTTTCTCTAGAGTCTCATGTTTAATACCTGCATTGTGGGGTTTTATGGATTCTGGGATGCTAAAATTTAGGAGAAGCTGGTTGCATGTTTCTTTCTCTGGTTCAAATTGTAGTGCTCTTGTCTTACACCTGCAGAACTCTGCCATATCGCAAGGTTGCAGATAAAAAGTATCTATCCATTTGATTGACAGGGGAAGGGAACAGGAAAGAAAAAGAACGTTCTCTTGAGCAATTTGATTTTTTTGTTTTCTGCTATGTGCACCTTTGAAACAAGAGTATTTAGAAGTAACCGACCCCCCATACAGCTCCTACATAATCTTGCTTTTTATCTCTATGAAGTAAATTCTTATATTTTGTGTACCCTAAAATAAAAATGACCTTCAGACAGACAAGAAAGCGTCTTTTCCCTCACTTCCTCTTCCTAAGCTCCAAATGTTTTCTTTAAAATGATTGTTGTGAAGTGCTAACAACACAGAATAAAGCTGATGATAAACTGTCAAAAGAGAAAAAAACCGTTTTATTATTGCATCTCAACACCAATTTTGTAAGAATTATCTTTAAAACAAATCTCCTAAATGGAGTCTCAAAGTTTCCAAGGTCCTACTGGTTCGGGTTTCATCGATCTGGGGGCAGAAACAACTATTTCGGAAATGCCAGGCAATGAATAGACTTCCCAGTAAACAACGTCTCAGCCCCGTCACGCAGCCCGAGGCAAATGAACACTTTAAACGTCGCCTCCCGCTCTGCTCCCCCCATAAAGAGCGCAGAGAACCACGTAGTCGGGCGAACCAGCCCATCAGTGCCTCCGCAGGGGTCCGGGTGGACCAGCCTCGCCGAGGTTAGGCAGGGCGCCGCGACGCTCGCCCGCTCCGCCCAGGCCCCACCCACTGCCGCCAGGCCCCGCCCCTCACACATCACGTGACTGGGCGCGGGGGTTCAGCCAGCTGCTGACACTGCCACGAGGTATTCGTCATGGAGCTGCCGCGGCTGCTGGTGCAGCTGCAGCTGCTGCTGGGCCTGAGCTCAGGTAGGGTCGAGCGAAAGGGACTTGAGGAGCGATCGTATTCCTTTATCCCTTGCTTACGCATCTACTCATTCCCCCCAGCCCTTTTCACTCTCCAGGGAGGGGTCTGTTCGTGGGCTTGCTCTTCAGGACAAACCTTTTCCCGCTTACTATTTTGTCTGCTTCTGTTGCTTGTGAACCTCACTCCGTCACCCCTCCCCAAATTCAAAGAGTCTTTCCTACCTCTCTCTGGCCCGGGGCGACCAACTGTTCGCTTTCTTTTCCGCGCCGCCGGGGTAGAGCTCCGCAAAATGTATGTTTCGGAGAAACTGCTGATGTAAGGTGTTTACGCGACCCTAATCCACTTCCCTTTTCTTAGGCGATGTGACTGCTTCATGGGCTTTTTAAGTCATTTTATTTTGAACTGACACATGCGGTGGAAAAGACCGGAAAATTCCACCTGGAGGGGCATATTCATCGAGCTATCTGGCCTTTCCCTCACTATTCGATCAGAACAGATAAAAATATCTCTCACCAGGATCCGTTTTGATTTAGTTGGGTGACTTGAAAATTAAGTTGCAGCCTTTTGAGCAAAATGACTCCTGTTCTGAATCAAGAACTGAGAATTTGAACGGGTCACAAGCTGAGCTTGTGAACTTAGACAAGTTCCTTAATAATTTTTGTGTTTCCTTTCGCTAATGACCCTTCAACTTGTTACTGGGAAGTGTCGCACTGTAACCGTGGTCACTGCGGGGGAGGGGGGTGGGGGGGAGGGAGTGCCAGGTGTGAGGTCGGAAGGAACCTGTGGCTTATGTGTCATTGCCATTTTCAAGGAGACTGCAATCTTGTGTTATTAGTGATTAGAATCTAAGAGTCACATCTGGAATATCCTAACGATTCTGTTTTGCACCTCAAGACACTTTCTGGTCTTCTTAGTCTTTAATAGTTACAAAACAGCATTGTTTGTCCACACCCATCTCTTGGGGGGCAGTTGTTCTTCCCCTTTCACCATGTAAGAAAAAGGGAAGAAGGAGGCAGAGGACTCCCGGTCTCAAGACCTGGAGGTTCCCCGTGTCGCCCCTTTTTTTGACATTAGTGTGTTTTTACCTACAGAGTGGTATTAGGGGGAAAATGATACAGAAACTTGACAGTTGTTACTTAAGCGAAGGGTGACATCGAACAGGTACTTAAGCTACACTTTTGTGTGTGTAGACATATACAGGCACACATGCTACATTTTTTGCCAACTTCCCTTCCCTAAGGTGTGCCAGCCTTCATTCCTTTAACAGTGCAGAGGGCCAGTTTTCTGTGCCGCTGTGGACATAATAAAGCCCATAGCATTGATTTTTTTGTCTATCTAATAAGCAAAGATTTTCTTAGTGACTTCACTTTTGCTTTGTCATATAATAATAGGGATGTTGATCCTTTCACATATTGAGTATGTGTTTGCCTTTTTCACAGATTACTTCCTCATAGCCTTTACTCAGTTAAGATTTTAATTTTTGTTTAATTGGTGTGTATACTTACTGTAGATCTTTGTTGTTTGCCTTTTAATTTTTTAAAATAATATAATAGTTTATTTTTACATCATGTTGTACCTTTTTTCATCTCAGTTGTAATCCCTGTGGGCTTGCCATCACCATAGTCCAGTGCACTCCCCCTGCCAGTTCCCCATAAAATGTCTCTGGTATATAGTTGTCCTTTTTTTTTTTTTTGCTCCTGGTCTTTTGTGCTCCTGCTATGAGTGAAACCATCTGGTATTTTTCTTCTTCTTTCTGGCTTATTTCACTAAGCATGGTCCCTTGTAGCACCATCCAAGGCTGCAAATGCCTTTTTTAAAAAAAATTTTTTTAAAAGATTTATTTATTGATGCATACAGAACTGGGGTACAGGCCAGAGGTGCAGGGGTGGTGAGAGGATTCACAGGAGAAAGAGTGGGGAGCAGAACAGGCCAACTGAGGAAGTACACTGCTGAGGGGAGCAGCGGGCAGGTCAGGAGATGTCTCAGGAGAGGTCTGCCATGCCATGTCGATCAACTCCGGGGCGGGAATTGAACTCACCCTGAAGTGGCTTTAGCTTCTTAGTGCAGTGCTTTAACCCACAGTGCCACCAGGGAGGGCTCACCTTTTAAATTTTTTAAGAAAAATTTTCTTGTACAGAAATACAACAATTTTCTGTCCTCAAATCTTGATATTTTTCTTAAGACCTCTGGCATATATTTAAATCCTTTTCCCATCCAGATGTCAGACAACCACTAAACTGTATTTTTATATAGATTTAATATTTAAAATATTTAATAAAAATACTTGATCCATGTAGAATTTGTTTAGTTAAGAATGTGAAGAGAGAACCTACATTCCCCTTGTCTCCCCTTCAGAAAAGACTCACAGGTGTCGCCATAGTAACACAAATAATCTTCACCCCTAAATTTGTGATGCCTTTTCAATCAAGTATTCAATATGACATAAAAACCAACATGCTGTGTTCTGAGATTTTTCTCTAACCAAAATTTACAGCTGTCTCTTTCCCTTCTTTTAAAACAGAATTATAAGTATTAAAAACCTAAACATGGGCCCTCCCTGGTGGCACGGCGGGTTAAAGCACAGCACTAAGAAGCTCAAGCCACTTCAGCATGAGTTCGATACCTTTTCTGGAGGTGACCCACATGGCAGGGTAGACCTCTCCTGGTCCACCTGCTGCTCCCCTCAGCAGTGTACTTTGTCAGTCGGCCTGTTCTGCTCCCCACTCTGTCTCTGGTGAATCCTCTCACTGCCTTTGCACCTCTGGCCTGTACCCCAGTTCTGTGTGCATAAATAAATAAATCTTTAAAACAAAACAAAACAAAATAAAAAACCCTAAGCATTACATAAGGATGCAAAGGGAAAAGTGAAAGCCCCAATTTCTTCTGCCACTGTTTGGCTTCTTTGTTTTTTCTTAACTGAGACTTTCCTCCTCATCTCCATAATATTTTGGAATGAGTACAGTGCCTAAGAATTTAAACCAAATCATCTCTGACCTCGCATGGCCATCTTCCTGGACTTGGAATTTACCTGCAACATTAGCCATTCTTCAAAAAATCACATTGTGCTTCTGTTTCAGGAGCTGTCATCAACCGGCCCACAGTGGAGGGCAAGGAAGTGTGGGATTATGTGACTGTCCGGAAGGATGCCCACATGTTCTGGTGGCTCTACTATGCCACAAACTCCTGCAAGAACTTCTCAGAACTGCCTCTGGTCATGTGGCTTCAGGTAAAAGTCACTTCACTTCCTGGTGAAGCCTAGAGATTGAGGTTGAAACCATGGCTCCTCCACTTAACACTGTGTTCTTTGGGCTGGGCTGGCCCCACAGTCAGCTGGAAGTCTCCTAAACTGGGACTCCTGAAGCAGGCAAAGGCCGCGGTTTGTGGAGAATAAGTGAGAAGGTGGGAAGGTCTTTTTGGTGGCTCTCCTGAAGTTACAGTCAGATATGTTAATGGAAAGCGTTTTGAAAGTTTTCAAACAAAGGCTGACAGCCTTCCTCCAGTTCCTGCCATTCCTCTCCTGAACGCCAACTCCTTGTCCCCAAAAGCTGGTCTTTAAAAAGGAGCCAGCCTTCTGTATGTTCGTGTTAATTGTTGGGTCCTGTCCCCCAGAGGTTCACTTGCTTTGTCAGTTTGAAAGCCAGTTCATGTTGAAACGTATGTGGGGTCAAGTAGAGAAACCTTCCCTGAGTTCCTAAAATAGAACCCAGAGGAGGCCCACAACTACCGAAAGGCCAATCTCTAGGGAGGGGTTGAAGAACCCTGTCTTATTTTAGCCTCTGGAAAATGCAAGCAAGGCCACCTAGGGCCCCATCCCCCCTCCAGTAAATAGGGCATATGGTACTTACATCCATGGGGTGCAAATGTGACTTCCTCCGAAGATGTCTGTGCTCTGTCTGCAGCCTCCCAGGCTTTGTCTCCAGCTCAGTAGATACAGACTTTCCCACACAAACATGTGGTTTGCAGGAAGGGGCCTGTCTTTCTCAGCATTGTTATAGCAGGCCTTACTTGGAGACCTGGGGTACAACTCCGAGAATGATTGAGTTCCCCCAAATTGAGAAGATAGTCACAGCTGAAGTTTGTTCAAGACAACATATGCAGAGGAATCCTGGTGGAGAGGACTTCTCCTCAGGGCAGGTGCAGGTGCTGGACCCACCCCTCCAGCCCCATCCACACACACCAGGGTCTCTATCCTGCTTACTGTGTGGGATCTTCCTTGTTAGAAACTAACACTGCTAGATGGGGGGCCGGGAGTATGTGTTCTTTTATTTAGATGGCTAGAGCTGTGTCAAGCGTCAGTACAGGTTAACATTCAGGAAAAGAAACTGGGGGGTTGGCTGGTTGGGGAATCACTGGGTTTCCTGCAGCTGGGCTCGTCATCACTTCCTGCCACTTGCAGCTCCTCTCCTCTGGCTTTGGTTTTCTTAGCTGGGGGATTTTAGTGATTTGCAGCCTTACTAATCAGCAGAACTTTTCCACCTCCACATGAAGCTCACAAACAAACCTAAGCAGAAAGCAGAGGGGCTGGGACGCAGCCGGGCACCCTGCCCCATCCAGCCAGTCTCACCTGTTGCATCTGCCCCTGGAGCACTTTTGACTTTCAGGGTACAAATTGAAAAACACCGAGTTTTCAGAAGTTGCAAAGGGTCCTTTTGGCTGATCTGTAGAGTGCAGTTGTTTCCAACATTTTAAAATTAAGACAGTTCCTTCCTTTTCCCAAAAACCAGGTGCTCTAGCAACGCAGGGTCTGAACTCACTATCCTGAAGCTGAGGGTTAGGCAGCCGCCTTCTAGCAGGCAGGACTCTTGGACGGGACCTTTCTGCTCGCACCTGATTTCTCTGTGCCGGCTGATGCCCTGGGGCAGTCCAGTTTGTGACCTTTGGTTGGGTCCAAACTTTGAGTGCAGATGCTTGAAGGCTATCCACTGACTAACCAACCTACCTACCTATTTATATGGATATACTTTTTCTTCTTTTTTTCCCCTTATTTATACTTTTTAAAAATTGTCTTTATTTTCCGTAGAACTGGGGCATAGGCCAAAGGTGCAGTGGCAATAGGATTCACCAGAGGAAGAGTGGGGAGCAGAACAGGCAGTAGTGTATACCTACTGAAATACACTGCTGGGGGGAGCAGCAGAAGAGACAGGAGAGGTCTGCTGTGCCATGTGGGTCAGCTCCCTGGCCGGGGATCCAGCTCATAATGATGGTAGCGCTGAGACTTAACCCCTAGGCCACCAGAGAGGCCCAAGGGAGGGGGGGAAAGTTTATGATTGAGGAAGAAATAATAATAGATTAAAAGGAGAGCTGTTCCAGCAGCCCACTGAGGACGCCTGTGCTGTTGAGAATCAAGTCTTGGAAAGCCAAGGGGAGTAGTCAATATTTTAGGTTCACTCTCAAGTGGTGCAAGCATTTGAGTCGGTCTGCTGAGCCATTTACTGTATTTTGGAGTTACTGGTTAGCCCTGGATCGTGACAGGCCCCACCCCACCCCCACGACCCCAAAGTTCTAGACAAAAAAAGGACTTGCTATAGAATGTTCTCACATAGAACAGAAGCACCCTCCCGGAGCAGTCATCAGCTCCACTGGGGCTTCAGGAACAGCAGATTTCACCCTCAAAGACCAAGCCCCCGAGGGCCCCAGCCCCTCTCCACCTTTGGTTCTGTCCTATCCCAGTGCACCCAAAGCAGACTGGAAAAGCTTTCGCTGGAGGACAGGCACTCCTCATGTGTTGCATTAGAAGCATTTTTCAGTGCAGTGTTGCCAGCTAACTTTGATAACCAGTGTCACATTCCATTCTGTAGACAAGTCTTCATTTACTAGCCATTCCCCTCTCAGGGGACATCAGAGCGCGGCCTGATCTCTGCTGTTCCCGTAATTACCGCTGTACGGAAGCTCCCTCTGGTTTGTGTTTTGCCACAGTATTAGCACATCTTAAGGTACAAAGTTATATAATTAGAGAGTTGGAGCCTCCAATTTTATAGAACCTGTGTAGGTTCAAAGCACTAAGTAGTTTTATAAAGTCTTTTCCTGTTGGTTCCTCCAGTCACCCTTATACTCCAATTCCATGATGTCTCTTCTCTATAGGCTGCCCTGGCCTCAGCCTGAGGCTCTCCCCTTCCCTCCCTTTCCTGGCCATCTGCACAGAGACCCTAGGCCTGTCCCCTTGCCTCAGCTGACAATGTTCTTGTCACGGCCCATCCAGCTGAACTGAATTTTGCTGCGCAAAGGGTTTCTTCCATTGCAGGGAGTCCCCTGAACTCACCCTGTCGGACCCCTGTGTTTCTTTTCTCTCCATTTCTTAGCCCTTCAGAAGCCATAGAGCTCCTCACAGCTCGACTGCCAGCAGCACACTCTGTCCACATTCTTGCTGTCCCTGCATGTCCAGCTGCAGTGTGGGTTCAAAGCATTAACTAGTTTTATAAAGTCTCTCCCTGTTGGGGCTCTTCAGTCACCCTGGATCTCTAGGGAAAATGTCTGCATTTGCTACCCTACCCAGGGACCCCACTCAGTCAACTGCCCCTCTGTCTGGGCCTTATTAAGCCTCAGGGATTCTCTGGAGAGCCTCCCCTCTTCAAGGAGCCTGGGGTAGACAGTCACGAGGCCCTCCCTGGGCCTCACTGCTTGTCTTCGAGGCGAGGGCCTTGCACTAGATGTTCTGCGCTTGGTCTTAGTCACGAGGCCAAGAAGTGACATGCAGCATTCTGAAGGTCAGCCAGCCCTGAGAGTAGGGCCAGAAAGTCCGCTCTGGGGTTCTTACCCAGGCTGCTCGATACTAAGAAGAGCAGAACAGCTGTCAGATGGCTCCGTTAGTGCAGAAGCCTCTGCTGCCACCGACACTTTGTCCTTTCCTGCAGGAATGACTCTGCCTTTGCTAAATCATAAATTGTTAAAAGTGAATGTGGTCATCCACTGGAGAAACTATGCTTTGACTAGAGTTTTCTTAGTCAAAGTAAGATCTTAGAACTTGTTTTTGTTTCTGTTCTCTTTCACAGGGTGGTCCAGGCGGTTCCAGCACTGGATTTGGAAACTTCGAGGAGATCGGGCCCCTTGATAGTGACCTCAGACCACGGAGAACCACCTGGGTACAGTGAGGATGGGCCCTGTGAAACCGATGCCACCTCTCCAGGGCTGAGCCCCACCAGCCCTGCTCCATGGGTTTGGGGGAGGGGGCACCGATTGATCAGCATCCCCCTTTCCTCCCTGTGTGTCCTGGGGAACCCACACACTGGTGTCCTCTCCGGCTGGCTTCTCCCGTTCCTGGGCAGCTCTCCCCTCTGGTGTCTTGTTCACCCCAGCTCAGCGACTTTTCTGCCCATTCACCTGCTCTAACAGCCCCCTGACCTTGGCACTGCCCACATCTTGGCCACGTGTGCCCTCTCAGCCACAACCCCCCTATCATGTCCGCTTCCCCACCCCTCTTACCTTCTTGACTTTGTTAAGACATCATGTCCTTTGTCCTGTGCCCCTGTGATGTCTTTCTGGCACTGTCTCCATCCTGTCGCCATTCTTAACCCCAAGTCCCTTCCCTCTGGGAAGGCTCCTACCGCCTGGCTCCTTCATCCTTTTCCCTTTATGGCCTTGCCCCACCCAACTGGGTCCGCCCCTCTGCCCACCTCCTTGTCCCTACCCCTAGGCTGCCCACCCACATGCCCTCCATTTCTGCTCTCTGCTCTCTCCTCTCTGCAGAGCACTGGCTGCTGCTATACTCTCGTGCTCCCCGTGCGGGGGCTCCTCCTCCTCCGCCTTCCCCCCCATCAGGAGTGGGCCTCTCCCCCTGCCTCATGGAGAGCGCATCACCAGCTATCTCCTGCAGGGCTTTCTCCTTTCTGCCCCTTCTTGTCCTCCTGTCCATCTGAAACATCAAGTGGGTCCCTCCCTGTTGAGATCTCGTCCTCCAAGACTCCACTTCAGCAGTTAGTATTTTCTAAGTATCAGTGTTCTCTCTAGCCTGTTTTCTTTGAGGGTGCAAATACGCTGGTCTTCCCCAATACAATAACAAATTCTTCCTCTTACCACGTCTGCTACCACTCTGTCAGCCCTCCAGCTCCACTCTTTCTTTCAAGCCTCTGTGGTTTGCTGTTGCTTCTTCACTCCAGCTTTCCAGCAGTACTGACCCTGAGTGTTGGAGTGGGAAAGAGTGGGCGCTAGCGAACCCAGTGCATTAACTCTGGCAGGCAGTGCGTGTCCTATTTCTGTTCTGGTCATGACGGTGTTGGGGAGCACTGCCTAGCCCATCAGTCTGTCCCCATCACTCTACTGGAGCTGTTGTCCCAAGGGCATGCAAACTTCCCAGTTCCAAGTCCATGTATTGTAACACTTTCTGGGACTCATCTTCAGTGAACAACTTCTTTTTTTTTTTTTTTTAAAGATTTATTTATTTGTGCACACAGAGCTGGGGTACAGGCCAGAGGTACAGGGGTAGTGAGAGGATTCACCAGAGACAGAGTGGGGAGCAGAGCAGGCAGATCTACGAAGTACACTGCTGAGGGGAGCAGCGGGCGGGTCAGGAGAGGTCTGCCGCGCCATGTGGGTCACATCCGGGATGGGCGGGGATCAAACTCATGCGGAAGTGGCTTTAGCTTCTTAGTGCTGTGCTTTAACCCACTGTGCTACCAGAGAGGGCCCTGAACGTCTTCTTTTTTAAAGATTTATTTATCTATACAGAACTGGGTTAGAGGCCAGAGGTGCAAGAGTGGTGAGAGACAGAGTGGGTCAAGAGAGGTCTGCCCACCATGTGGGTCAGCTCCCTGACCAGGGATCAAAGTCGCAGTGAAGCTGCCGCAGGGAGCTTCATGGCGCTGTGCTTTAACCCGTTGCACCACCAGGGAGGGCCCTTCAGTGAACTTTGCAGTGTTGTTGTTCATTCCCATGTTTTATGTGTTGCTGTTTCCTAGCACTCTGTCCTTCCTTACACTTTCTTCTCAGTGTTTTGGGCACTCTGTCCTTGCCAACCACTTTAATGAAATGCATGGTCACCCCCCAGTAGAAAATGACAACTCCCACTTCACTGTGGCTAGCTCAGAACTCTCTCCTTCAGACTTGGCCACCATTCATACCTAGCTCATCACACATCTCCGTTCTTCAGGACTCACTGCAGGATCACTTCTTCCTTAAGGTTCCTCTGAGTCCGCTCATTCATTCTCTTATTGTCTTCCTTAAGTGCCTTGACTTCTTTGCCTCAGGGTCTTTGCACCAGGTGCTGCTTTGGCCTGGAACATTCCTGTCTCCCTTCCTTTACAGTAACAGAATGCCCCACTGACTTGGCCAAGTCCCAGGTTTAAGAAGGTCATGTGACTAGAGAAGAGAACCTGAATAAGGATGAAGAGATTTTTGTCTTGATGCTTCCATTCCCCATTGACTATGACACTGGACAGGACCTGGGCTTTTTCTGACCATTAACGGTCTGACCACTTAGCGTGTCATCACTAACGGTCCTTTCAGATGTAAAATTCTGTAGTGTCTGTAGAAAAGCTCTTAGGATAGTGTTAGAATAAATTCTTTCTTGCAGTGAGTAGGGAACCAGGCCAGTATATAAACTGGATTGATCTTACATGGATTTGTGGACTTCAGACCTTGGATGCTCTCACTGCTCCCAGCTCTTGCTCACACTGACTCTGCGTGGTTCTGCCTATGCTGGCGCATTACATTCAAGACATTTATATCCATGCAAAGTGATAGCTGAGATTCTTTGATCCCTGGAGATATGTTAACCTTTTCTTCTCATTTCTCCTCGTCTTTGCCTTCCTTTTGCTATTATCAGTCTATATTACTGTCCCCTTTTTCTTTCCTTTGAATCCTCTTTTAATCACTGAGTCAGAACCTCACCAATATCCTCATGTGTAGTTTTTGCTGAGTTTGTATAAGGTGATCAAAGAGTAACTGGCATCCTGGTCTACAGCTGCAGTCTGCCAGTTTACTCTTCGTGGACAACCCTGTGGGCACTGGCTACAGTTATGTGAACAAGAGTGATGCATATGCCAAAGACCTTGCCATGGTGGCATCAGACATGATGGTTCTCCTGAAGACGTTCTTTGATTGCCACAAGGAGTTCCTGGTAAGCAAAAGCTCAGGAACAGCCTCGCAGGGCTAACAATGGCATCACTGTATTCACCAGAATAATCTTCGATTTCCCCCAAGAGTCCAAAGCCCAGCTGATTCTAGAGAGCACTTTTCTACCCTCAAGATTGGGGTGAGGGCTTTTGGTTCTATTATCACTAAATGGTTTTTAAATTTGAACGAATGACCTCAAAGTATTTCACTCAGTTGTGGAGGAAAAGACAAAAGTAGATTTGTTTTGTCTGGCCACTATAGGCAATGACATTTTGAAACTCAGGTGAATTAAAATTAAATTATGTGAAGTACAAGGCACTCAGGAAACTTGATTCTTCATAAATTTCTTTCTTTGCTAGACAATTCCATTCTACATTTTCTCAGAGTCCTATGGAGGAAAAATGGCTGCTGGCATTGGCCTAGAACTTCACAAGGTAAAAGGGAAGATGGCTTTGTGGCTTCAGGTTGGGTAAAAAATGGTGTTTTTCTTTTATAATTTTTTATATTTACTCTATTTTGAATAGGACCTTGTAGAGAAAGAGTAAGCCTGTGAAACTCTTGGGGGTGAGCATGGGGACTCAAAAAAGGATAGTATGACAGAGGAAAATTATGTGAAATTCACATTTCAATGTCCATAAAGTTTTATAAGGACACTCCTTTTTTTCCATGTTGTTTGTGGCTGCCTCAGCGCTACAGTGAGAGAAGTAATTGCACCACAGAGCCTAAAATATTTGATATCGTATCTGGTCCTTTAT